ACCGTTTGTTTTTCCTGCAGAACTTGGTGATGCGCCGACTGCGTGAACAAAAGGCCTGTTTCTTGAGTGAATCAACTGAAAATGCTCCAAAGCCTAAAGACCTCAAAAAGGCACTTGACAAGGTAATCAAGTTTCGAACAAACGATGCACTAGCTTTCTTATGAAGGTCGCGATAAAGCGGCCTTTCTAGACTTGTTTGATGTATTTCTGTTTCCTTTGAATTATCATCAGTAGGAGAATGGCAGTTTTAAAGATGCAGCGTTTTCAATCTCGATCTTTTTCTCTACTCAACAACAGAAATGTCATAAAAACAAACTCTGTGGTCGGAATGACTCTCGACCTTTAATTTCTTCCGGCTCAGACTATTCAAGTCTCAATTTTGATTTAGTGTAGGGATTGTAAAAAGTTATTGAAGATTTCATATCATATTATGATCTTACCTCTGTTATAACCATCAATCTTGAGCAAGGTCATATCGATGAAATGTAATAAGAAAAAATGTATTTCATTACTGGATTACTTTTTCAGCAAAGCGCTTCCGGTTCCTCGAAATCTGTCAATTCCACAGACTACGAGTACGAAGTTGTTGGCACTGTGAATGATCGTTCCACTCTGAGTGATGAAATGGCGACTATGTGCGCAAAGTTCCCCATTTATCGCATCAAGAAGAGGACGATCACTACGAGTGTACAAAAAGAAAACATCCAAGGTATTTCATGGCATTTATTAATCTTTCGTTTTAACCGTTTTGAGAGCGATAAATCTAAAATGACCTAGGAGTTATGTATCGTAATTAGCTTTCGCTTTCTTCTTTCAGGTGGCAAAAGCAGGATGAAGAGGAATCTGTGCAACCGTTGCTACACGAGATACTATGTTGTGTGCCGTTATAATCCTGTCACGCGCCAATACGTATGTTATTTGATTAGGCGCATAATTTGCATCTTGGTTAGTTGCTACGGGCGCCGCTGAACGAAGGCCCACGGTCATTTCAAGAACCAAGCCATTGCTCCAGGAACTTCAGCCAAGAAAATGAAAATTGATGATTTATACCACTAATTTCTTATTGATTTCATGAAATGTGCTTTAAAAAATGTGTAGTTTTACTAAAATTGTATGACATTTCATCACTTTTTTTAGAGTTCAAGTTTTTGCAAAATTAAAAAAAAAATGCCTTACTTATATTTTTTTCTAACAAAAATAATTAAAATTTTAATATTTGTTTGTAGAGTTCATGCGTCTGCAAATTATTAAAGAATTAAATGAATCCAGCAATTCAAATCTCTTCAGTGGTGTTTTCTGAGTCAGAGTTTGGACATTCCCCATCAAAGTGAAGGCTGATTAATCCATTAATAATAATAATAATAATAATAATTAATCGATTGACCTGCAGGAGTGATTAGCTTCTAATTTCTCCTTAGTACATCATCCCTGAATCAAAAGGTAAGGTTACGAGAAAAAGGAAATGATCAAAAACTAATTAAAACTCGATTGTTATACAAATTCTCCTTGTCAGCACCTTGGTAATGTGCAGAAAATAGTATGGAGAATATGCATACTGATGTTATGCTGCAAAAAGTTAAAAAGGATTGCAAATAATGAGCAGAAATTTTTAAGCTCAGGAAAGACATGTGAACTGTGAAGAGAGTGCGTAAACTTAAGGGAATAGTGACACTGATTTGTCTTCCTCCCTTCTTTTTTTAAATTTCAAGCTAAGTTTTTGATACTGCTCAGCCAGACACAAAAGATTGAAAATATCTACACCGTGCCTTTCATTTGGCTTCTACATCCGTATAGATATCGATCAATTGTCTTAAAACGAAAAAGAAAAATCTCAAGCTCGGAACACGAAACCCCCCAAAATCCAGCAAGAAAGAAAACCTAGGGAGCTTGGATCTTGGACAGAAACAGCAGTGTTACCCTCAGAAAATTTTTAGGTATCTCAATTGCGTTACATCGATAAATACGTCTCTTTGCTCAGAAGCTCATCTCCGGAAAATCACAAATCCAGTGTTTGATAAACAAGAACGAAACGTGACAGTCACACGGTGACAGTCACACGGTGACAGTCACACGGTGACAGTCACACGGTGACAGTCACACGGTGACAGTCACACGGTGACAGTCACACAGTGACAGTAACTGTGTCTCACTTTCTTTACGGCTGTAAATCACTAACTTTTTTGCCACTACTCTCTGTTCACCTGCGCTGCTCCCTAGACCTTCGATACTGAGCGCCGGGAAAATTGTAATTCATGCTAATTTAGGATTACTTGAAATTAAATATTTTGTTACTGGCCTTTGGTTGACTGACGCAAGGGCCGCACTAAGCTCAGTTGTTGCTTCATTGCACTAAGTCAAAACGGCTGGGATTGTTATAGACTTATTTGACTCTCCAAGGGTTCCTGTCAATTTCCTTGCGTGCTAACAGACGATGAAGATGGTAAAAAATTTCAAGCACCGTTCGATCCTCTAGAATGGGAAAAATAACAAGACCTTTATCCCAACATCCTTATGTGTAAAGTGCCCGAGAGGAGAGTCTTTTAAGGAGAGAAAATGCAAGCTTGAGATGCGCAGAAGAGTTACTATTTATTCACCTTCGCCTTCTCAATCGACGAATTAACTATCATAGAAGCAAAGAAAAAACAGTCTGTCAAATTTATAAATAAATAGATGATAAATGAATATGGAACTTTGAGGCTATGGCCTTTAAAATCTCATATGTAACTGTACACTATTTAAATCAAACACTATAAAACAATGCAAAGTGTGATAACATAGTGGGAACAAAGAACAACTTCAATAAAGGGGTTAAGTTTCTAAATAAACTGTAGTGCTGCGTCGGTGGGAGTAACATGGTAATTTTGGTTTTATCAACTGAGGTGATAATTTAGATTGGCCATCGTAAAGAGTTCACAAGCTGACGTTTCGGAGCGTTAGCCCTTCGTCAGAGCGAAAGGGCTAATTAACGCACTGACTAAGGGCTAACGCTCAAAACGTCAGCTTTTTTATAAGAGTTAAAACTCTTTACGGAGGCCAATTTATATTATCGACTCAGTTGACCAAACCAAAATTACCTTGCTTCATCCATAGACTGAAGTTACCGTCTCCATCAGTTGCGTAAATTCTCTTAAAAGTTTGCCAAGATTTCAAAGTTTTTGTAATATTTCCGTTTGCTTGGTTAATTACCCCATGGCCGCATTATTGAAGAAAGTAGGATAAATATTACACCATACATCCACTGTCAAAGACATTTTTCTTTCACACCTTTTCACACCAAAGCGACCAAAACCGATAGCTAACTTCTCTCTTTCATAATGTTTTCACCAGGAAACACTCTACGAGGCAAATTTCACTGTCAACCCAATGCCTATAAAAATGTCAAAGCC